CCTACGTTCGTAAACAAAAATGGACATAACCTCAATTTATAAACAAAGGTAAACCACGCAGAATCGTAAAAAATCTCACGATGGAAGATTAGAAACGCAATTGTTCGAATTACAATCAAATGCTTGCCACCAAGATTCGCGAGGCTTGGAAAATTAAGACTTAATTCTGTTAAACGCAGAAACCGATTGAAAAAACGATTGAACAGCGTCCAAGAAGCCGACCAGACTTCTATTGGATCCAATCGACGAAAATAGGTTGGAAGATTGGTGTTCCACGACCACGACTTGGTTAAGATCGATACTCACACGTGATATTTCCCGCTTTTTTCCTGACCGTGCCTACTAAGCGCAATTCGACGAACTTTGTGCACGCGTTTTTTCTGCCCTCTTCTTTATTTCGACTCCTCCCCGCCTCTCGGCAGCGTTGTGATGGGGGGAACGCTCGTGTCTAGCGAAAACGAGCGTTTGTTTCGCTTCGAGACACGTTGATAGATGGCTGGGGCGAGGAGAATAAGAAAGTACGAAGAGAGAAGGGTCCCTCCCTCGAGTTTGACGCAATTTCGATCCTTACACGAATTTATGGCGACGTTGCCTTTCTTCGAGCACGATTAAGTGGGTTTCGGGGACGTTTTGAGGTTAGGTTGATTCGGTAGATTGTTTTAGGTTAGAAATATGGGGATATGAATATATTTAGATGTTGAAGAAATTTTCTTTTCTTTTCTTTTTTTCTTATGCTCTCGAAGAATGAGAGTAAAGGATGGTAATATAATGGTACAATATCGAAATTGAAATTTTAATACTGATTTATATAGTGACATTAATGATTTTAGAGATTGGCATTGATATTTTACTTGGTGTAAATGCTTTCTGAATGAATTGCGAAATTTTCGCGGGAAGAAGTTTAAGCAAATAAATGGAAATGAAAGATAAGCAAGGAATTAGAAATATTATAGGTTAAAGTTGGATTTCGATTCAACAACAATTTGACAAACATAGTCAGATTTTCATGAAATTTAAAGAGATCGTATGAAATTTATCTTAATCTTGTCACTTTTAATTATTTTCTTGTTTAATGAACCTTCCACTTTAACAGTTTCTATGGGTTCTTCTTCTCTCAAGAATCTTCAAAGAATCCTTACAAGTCTTAGCATCAATCATTATACAACAAATTTCAATTCAGTCTCAATCCGGTTCAATCTCTTTTCTATCCTAAAAACATAATACAAACATTTTGTTCGATCAAAAATGTATTTCAAAAAAAAAAATATCCAATTATAATTTCTATAATTATATAATTTTACTCATTCTCTTCAACTCTCTTCTTTTTTTTCATAGAAATAACGATACCCAAATTGCTATATTCATATTCTCTATTCATATTTCACCTTTTTCTTTTTATATATACATATATATTTATTCTATTCTCTAGAAAGTAAACAAACGATTCCAAACACGGATTGTTGAAAAGTGCACAAGTTTAGCGCTTCAGAAAAGCGGTCCAAGGAAATTTTTTTCAAGCATTTAAAAGAAAAAAAAAAAAAGAAGAAACGGAAACGTTCGCCACTCGAGTTCTTGAACCAGTCCAGAAGGTTGACTCTCTATTTTTCCCCGTTCGCCTCGTGTTTACAAGCTCCTCAACCGGAATATAGCGACTGGCGCGCTAGTTTCTCTTCGTTTGGACGGAAAAACACACCACGTGTCCGCTCTCCCAGCTTTTTAGATGCTTTCCGCGAACACGGGGTGTTTCGATGCACGGAGAAAAATAAACCGGCGTATTCAAAGGTCTCTCTTTTTATAACCGCACACGATTGAATCGTAGACAAATATTTGTTGAACGCGATTTAATTATTTTTACGCGAGGAGGAAAAAAGAATCGAAATCGAATAATAATAATAATTTCATCGTTTCAGCGATTTTTTAATTTTATAATGTGAAAAACTCGAATGTGTAAAACTCGTTCGAGATTAAAGAGTCATCGTTAAAATTCTTAGAGAAATAAGGAATGTGTTGATAATTGAGCCAATTAGTCGAATCGATGATTGTGTCACGATTAATTCCGCGAAAATTACATCAATTACCTGCAATTTTAACAGTCTTCTCTATCCGTTGTAACGCTGTTTGTATTAAATTATTCACAAAACATTGTGTTTTTTCAATAATGCGAAACAGACAGAGCACAATTGTTTTCCATCTGCAGAAGCGAATGGAAAGGATCAAGATCCGAAAATTTCCAAAATTCGTTGGAAATTAATTTACTTCGAAGCAATATTTTCTCTGATAAAATTCATCTTTTTTAATTCTCTTCAAGATAACGAAACGAATTTTAATAATTTTATCTACGGGAGCCAGAGAACGATTCATCGACCGAAATCGTGAATAAAATAGGGGGGAAGGGGAAAGTTTGGCCGGCGATCGAGCAATCCTTATTTCAATCAAAAGTGACAAAGCCTCGGTCAGATTTGATATCCGATCATCAATGAAGAATGGAAAGGAGAGAGGAACTATTGTCTCCGTTTCTACGAACCTTGTGATTGAAAATTCGAAGGAAAAAGACGTTGGAAATCTTGATTGCAGGGGGTGAGAATCAGTAGACCTTCGAACGTCTCTTATTAAATATCTCGTTTCATATTTCTATATCTCGCGTCTTCAAGGCTTCGCTAACTCCTTTTTTCCCCTTTCTTTCTTCAACCTCCTTTTGTTCTCTCTCTCGATGTCTTCGAAAAAAGATTCATCGTTCTTTCTTTTGATTTGAATTTTGGATAGATCAAATTGTGCCAATTAGAGATTTTTTCCTCCTCCTCTTCTTCTAACAAAAATTATTATTGTTAAATTATACGTAGAATTTTATGTGAGAATTTTTTATGAATAATTTTACGAATAAATTAATTCATTCGATTTTTCGATCAAATAATATTCCTCAAATGTTTATATTTTTGACTTTGCATGGAAAGTTTATTAGCTTTAACACGCGTATTTGTAGAGAATTATCTTTGCATTCGATAATTAATACTTCTTTCATTAGATATTTTAATTCTTACCTTTATTACATTCTGAAAAATATTTGCCTTCGTTGAACTACTGTTTTACTTAAGTTTAATCAATAAACACGATCAAAATTTAACCAGACTGATAATCAAGCACTGTCTTCGAAAAATTTTTCCTTTCGCAGTTTTTCCACGCACGAGGGTTAAAAAAAAAAAAAGGAGATTCGACAAGAAAATTCGCCCTCCTTCGTTCGCCCGCGAAACGAGAAACAGTGTCATCGATTTCACGCGGTATTTGGGTTAACAGAATTCAGAGACGACATTCAACGCAGATCGAATAGAATAATCATCATATTCGTGAAAACCGAACTGCTGATAATAATTCCGTCGAAGCCTCGAGAAGGCTCGAGCCTTCTTCCCAAATTTCCATCTATAACGAAGGATTTAACCGATTTCAAATCAGGGCAAAACGAAATTAGATACGTTCCTTGCTCCTTCCTTATTTCACGCAATTCCCATCCCACGAATTCCTTAGGTTAAGCGAGTGGCGAATTGCATTTAGTCGAAAGGAAGCACGATTTCCAGGTTAGAGATTATATTTCGTTTGAAATCGAAGAGGAAAATGTAGGAAGATCATCGATTAATCCACACGATAATTATCGGGTTGTTCGGAAAGTAATTTCTTTGTTTTACACGACAATGAAACACCAAGTCGTTTCACGCGATCATAAACAGTCTAATTCGACAAATTCACTGTAGCGATTTCTCGAGTTGTTATTCGTCGGTTTGCTTCGATCTGTGTCTTTATTTTGTCTTCGACTAGTCTTCTGAATTTTAAAAACTAGTTTCGACACTGACGTATCATTATATACACCTTTTCGGTAATAAAAAAGTGAAATATGCCGAAAATGTTCCTTTCGGTCTCGCATCTTTGTTTATCACGCGCGAGAAACACAAAAGCACATAATCGAACGAGTTTTTCTTATAAATAGACCACGAAATACCGACTCTCGAAATGTAATAACAACAACACAATGGTTTGGAACGAAGTTGGCTGGATAAACGTTCAATACTAGCGACACTCGCGTGAAAAAACGAATTACTTTCCGAGCAACTCAATATTTACGTTCGACGTCTGTCGAACAGGTGATTTGAATCCGTGTAGCAACCACGTAGAAGCGAGGTCTTCTGCGTAGGTCAAGTTCAAATTAGAAAAGTTCTTGATTTACGTGTAAAGTTCACGAATTTATTTGAGATATAAATTCACTGCCGAAGAAATCGTGATACGTGCGAGAAAAATATTTCTCGAGGCCACGTGACGTGGTAGAACGTTAACCACTTTCTACGCGAAAACACGCGACTTAATTACAGGAAACCGAGGATTTCCCGTGTTCCACTTCCGTTGTGGTGGTATTCATGACGCGATTGCACGGCTCCATTAACTTCTCTGCGAGAGGCACGTTGTGACCATCCCGTTACCCACGTAATCCCATTTAACTTAGTGATAGTCATCGAATTTGTCGATAAGTCGCTTCAAACACAGAGAAGACATTCCCCTTAAGTAAGTCGTATTTATTATATACGTAATCTTTATTTTCCCTTGTTTATATTATTAATCTTTAAAACTATATATATGTATTAGATCTAAAACTTGTTCTTGCACGGTTTTACTCAAGTGATACTTAATTTCACTATTTTTAATAATAATTGGAATAATAATAATCGTTGGAAATTGATGTTAGTATTAATAATATGTCTCACTCGTTCAAAGACATGCTCAAATTGCTTATAATTTATAACTTAAAAATGTTCCTCTACTTTTACATTTCTCTTCCAGAGAAATTCCACTCTGTTTACAACAAGTAGTTTAAACAAGAATTAAAGATTATACAATAGAAATTATACAATAAATTATACAATAAAGATAGATGATCTTTAGAGATACAAATATTTCTGAAATAAAATATTAAAAAGAGAGACGCGGAGTTTCGATAACTCGAGCGGCAATCGCTTTGCATATTCGAGTTTCTGAATATCAACCGACCTTCTTTCGAGGTTAAACGAGGTCACTCTCTCTCTCTCTCTCTCTCTCTTCCACCCTCCCCCTCGCCTCCTCGACCTTCATCCCCCGCGTCTACAGCCCTTTCGTCACTCAACGCCTAGCTGGTGACGCGTTAATTAACAATTTCGAATTCACTTCCGTGCGAATCGATTGTTCTCGAATCGATCGTGGTATACCGCGCAATCCACTCTCTCACGATCGATGGTTGGGGGATGGCTCCCTCCTTCTGCGACTGTAGATATTCCAGACCAGTAGAATAGAATTACGACACGATTTTGGTTTTTCGCGCTTTTTTGACGAATTACTTCTCTTCTTTTTTTTTTTCTTTTTGCTTCGGTCGACGAAATGGCGGGAATTTTGAAAAATGGAAGGTTTCGTTATTCGTCCAATTTGGTTTTTGAACGAAATTTTGCTCGCTTGTTGCGGGAAAATTGGCAGTTAATTTCCTTCACGCTTCAAAATAATTGGAAAAATGGGAATGCGAAAAAGGGATATTTTTTTCGATTTAAATATTTTTCTTTCTTTCCCCCCCCCCCTCCTTTTTTTTCGAATGGAAATTTGAATAGCATTACACATACCTTCGTCACTCGTTTACGGGTTGTTTATACGGGTCGTTAATTTTTTATTGCACGCGGTCGTTGCCAAGTTGTTCGAGGGTTGATTAAAATTTGCAGTTTTCACATTGTATTTTAAAGGATACAATGCAACACGTGAAATTACTCTTTGTTGAATATCGTTGAAATATTCGTCCCACCTTTGCCGATATTTCTCGAAAAGGATCCAATTTTCCTCTTTTCCAACAAATTTATAAATCCAGCAACCGAGATCATATTGGAACACGAACAAACATTGAATATTGAATAATTCATAAGTGTGCGCTCATATTATTTTTTTTTTTTTTCTTTCTCAACTCGTGCGAAAAATATTCCGAAAAAGTCAAGTTCAATGCAGAAAATATGGAAAGAAGATGGCAGAATATAATTGAACGAAACGAAAGCTTTAATTTTGAAAATAGCAATTGACAAATAGTTCGAAAGCACTTTTTTCTTTTTTAACTTTCGTGCATCGAAATTTACATTTCATTCGGAAAAACGAGGAGAGAACCTTCCCTTTCTGAGAAACGGAAACGAAAGAAGATTAAAGAAAGAGAAAAAAAAAAAAATCGATGAAACGTTTCGATACATGTATTCCATGTCCACGGAGAAGAAACGATCGTGGATATCGTCGCTTTCCGCCTCGAGTGAGCACCAAGATGACGAGAGCCGATACAAACCGAAAGAAATTCCACACGAAACGTTCCCGAGTCCCGTGTATCGTCCTTTGTATATCGAGCTATATCTTTCCCTTTTTTTTCATTGTCAACGTTGCACATTATTCTTTTTTCCCCTCTTTCTTGTCGACGTAACATGCAAATAATTGTAAATTTGCATTGTAAATTTTCCTCTTTCCGAGGAATGCGCCATGTGCGCCGCGAGTTTTCAAAACCTTCGAATCTTCAAACGCCACGTCCGTCTTAAAATTGTTTAGTGGCCCATTTACGAGTGACGTTTACTCGCCATCTGGTTGGATCGTTCCAGGCCAAAAGGGACGAGCTCTCCCCGCTCGTCGAACCACGTGTGGAATAAAATTGAGAAATTGAGAAAAATCGATTCTTCTCTACGATCGATATTGTACGAATAAATACTTATAATTTGTAATGTTGAAAATGAATGTAATTATTTTTAACCTCGTTACTTTTTCGTCAACTCTGAAGCAGAACGAATGAATCAAGGACAATCCTGGATGATATATGACTCTGTGACAAAGTAATTGGAATTAACATGATCACAGATTGGAACGAATAATTCAATTTAAATATAATATTACGACTTTAGCCGGACATTCAATCTTCCTTTTCTATCTCACTAATTCACGACCCCGCGTATTCTCGACCGAATTAATAAACCATCCTGCTTTTCTTCTTCAGACCTTTCTTACCCAAACTGGACAGTCGTAAATACGTCGACCCCTTCGACCCAATGAGATCATTTATCTCCGACTTCCAATTATCTATTTTGCCAACGAACGATTTAACTCACCCCTCCTCCGCCAGAATAATCTCGATTTCATTAACCATCTGTGCGCCGACTAGTGTAAAATTATTCCCGATTAAACTTGGAACTTGACTTTTATTCACGAGCCTCTTACTTCTTTTTCGATTTCGCCAATTGAATCCTCGAGATTCAAATGGAGCTTGGATCGATAATAAGGCAATTTTATCGATGGAGTTTTCTGGTTCGTGTCTAGGCTACAACAGTCAAGTCGTGTTCTTTTTTTCTCTTTATCCATATGGATTTTCTTTGTGGTGATTATTGCTCGTTACGTTATTAATTATTGATTTGTTAAATTGTTGTTTTTTTTTGTTAATTCTCCTTTGGTTTTCTATCAGGCTCTGGTTAAATTCCTAGCTCTATCAGATTCCACGTTCTTTTTCAATCTAGTTGGGTTTCGAAGTACTTTTACTCTGGTTTAGGGTAGTTAGATTTAGCTTTTGATTTTGGATTCTTGTGCATATGGAAGAATTGGAGAGTTTCCCTTAACGAAGGAAGGATTTAATAACAGTCCACGTGTATCGTTAGTTCTTAACTTGATCGATATACCAATCTTAAACTGAGATCGAGTTTTGTTAACTTTAACTTTTTGAATCGATGATCAGATTAAAATCGTGGTACGAGTTTTGTCCAGAATTTTCAATCATTTTTCGCCTCTCAATCTCGTACCTCTCGAACCTTGCAATGTATCGGTTTTTGTGTGTACGCATTTGAATCTCTCGCATCGAAATTGTACGGCTCGGAAACATTCCAATCTCTGCACGTCGACGAGGCTTTATAAACTCGTACAAAATCTTTTAACTGCGAAGTTTTTTAACTGAACAGCAAGTTAAGTAAACTTTGAATGTTTTAGAATTCCACAACTTTTCTACTTTAAACTTTATATAGCTCTTTCCATTGTGAAACTTCGAAATTTCTGATTTCTATCCCCCCCCCACTCCAATATTGAACTTTCAAAAATTCTCAAACCTCAAGTGTCCGGATCTTTGACCCCGTTGATTTCTCTCTTCGTCCCAGTTCCAATTTGATTCTATCCTTTACCTCTCAGAGCTCATCATTTTACATTTCTTCAACAAATGAGTAGTATCTCTTAAAATTTCTCTGCTCAACACTTTTCTATGTAGTATTTGTATTATTTATATAAATTTAACATGAAATTTGTTAACAAAAGCTTTCATTTTGGTGTAAAATTTTAAATTTGCAAATTTTTACCTCTTTCCAATCTTCCATCGAACTTGACCTACTTCTCGGAGTTTTAGGTTAGGTTTTTAACGTCGTCGAGCCTCTATTCCTTGGATTCGTTCGAACTTCGATCCTGTTTTTTTCCACCTCAGCCTACTCTTAGCCGCGGCAAAACTAATGGCTTGATTAAAGCCATGTCATGAAACGACGTCAAATTTACTCAAGCGAATCCTCCGCTCGCGAACAACCAATTAATGACTTTCCTTTCATCAAATATGTAATGTCACGTAGATGGAAATCCCTAAACATTGCTACAATTATTTATTTTTTTTTTTTCCTTCTTTTTCCCGTTATTTTTAGATTCAAGAGATCGATGCTGCCTACTTTTCTTCCGATTAAAACTGTTACGCTGTTATTTTTGCAAATAAATTCCCCTAGATTATCTAGGGGAAACTAGATCAAAGTTTTCCTCGAAACTTTTAGGCGTTGAAACCTCGAAAGTTGGAATACGAGGCAACAGAAGTTTTTACGTGTTTGTTCCTTTTCAAATGATTTCAAAATCTTAGATTGTATCGTTGTAAGAAATTGTAATATATTAAATTGACTCGCATCTTTTTTCTTAAATCATAAGACGTACGATTTTATGTGATATTTTCATTTATCGATTATTGCAAATTTTATTACGGATCGCATGTTATAACCTATCAGATTTTAAAAATCTTAAGACATATTTCTTCGTAGAAAAATAACGATTAAAAGTTCAATCCCCTGTCGAAAATGATTCGTCTAATTAATTTCAATGCAAAATGGTTCTTTGTGACATACTTACTTGGCACAGGGGAGCCAAAGGTCTGTTTTAACGCGACACACATTTTTTAATATGTATTTTCCCCAGTGCCAGCTTTAAAATTTTTGTTGAAAAAGAAAAAAATGAAACGTTGAAAAATGAACTATCAACTTCGAAGACGTTTTTAATCGCACCATAAAATTTTTTCATACACGTATGTACATTATTTTATTAGACACCTGTTCCACTTCAAACGACATAAATATTTCAACTCATTATCGCGACAGAAGATTGACAGAAGATCATGATGAACGTAATAACGTGGTTAATAATTTCCCTTTACTTTTATTCTATTCGTTGAAAAAGAAGAAGAAGAAAAAAAAAAGAAATTATTATTTTAGAGTGAAATACGCGACACCGAAGGAAGAATAAAATTCAAAACTCGAGACGTGAACGAGAAGTGCGGATATTTAAGGAATATTTTGCGCCAGGTTTTGGTGGGGAAAATATCCAGACCAGAAGACAAAATTTAGCATGGCGTATACGTGACGCACGTTCAGATAGCTTTTTGCTGAAAACGTTGAAATATAAATGCCACGGAAAATAATAATAAGACGAGTTTTTGGTCGAATTTTTAATTGAAATTTCGATCCAATGTTTAATCAAAAAAACGTTTAATCCATAGTTTTAAAATTTTTCCCTCCGCATTTTCATTTCTGACTCTTTTTTTTTCCCCCC